ACTTCCAGAATGCACAATTTTGCATCATCTTCCTGCTAAAATTATTAAATTCACATGTGTGTTGGTTCGGAATGTTTTTAACGCGGATAACTTTTGTGTAATTACTTCCTACGAAACAGGACGGGTTTACCTGGTGTAAAAAATGGTCTTATAATTAGCATAAATACAATTAGAAACAATCGGGTTTCTAATAAATCTAACCTAACTTGTTATTTAATTAAATTTTATGAATTTTGAATAGGGATCATTATAATACAACACGCGAATGCAATTAGGAGTATATCCAAAAATAACTAATGACAGATGAAAGATGTCTTGACATTTTTCCAAGGATAATCTTTGAAACAAATTGCATCCTGTATAAACCATTCTTTTTGCTATTTTAAAAACATCAAACGCAGTGCTCATCCATAGTTTAGTAAATCTGCGGATTGACCTTCAAATGTAACTGTAACCCCTTTGATTCCATTAGTGTCAGGATTATCTTTTTATGTACACATCCATTAACATTTGGTCCACTTGTATATTCATGTCTGTCTCGTTATATTGAAAAATGGTGTTATGTAAGCATTTTATAAGCAAACGCGTTCGTGGCAAGACATTCGTCTAAAGTTCGTACTAACGAAGTACAGATTCAACTTCATCTAGTTGGTTTCTTGGGAGTTTATATTATTAAAATATGATGGATGGGCTTGAATCTAAGAAAAGGCAAGGATCATGTTGCTTCTATTTGAATCTGGGAGATAAGAATCAGTTAAAAAGGGTTTTTACGGTTTCTTCCTCCAGTCCAGAAGGTATGTGAAGGTCTTGGATACGGTAACCTTAGACTAAAGTTGTATTTCGAGAGTATCTTTATCACTCCGGCATCTGCACGAGAGAAACAGTTAATTACATTCAAAAAAGGTAGATTCGTACACAAATAATTGAACTCGCTAATCAATGCAAATGAGTTTAAGTAAATAATTTTAAAAAAATTAATAACTGGCCAATCTCAAACAAATCAAAATAGGAATAATATTTACATTGATAGCAAATAAAACCAAATTCAAGAATCCCTTACACCTGAGTTACAAATAGCTGAATGCAACATAATTTAACGATAAGCAATTTCTATTAAAACTAAGTACACTACCTTTTTGAAATGGCAAAAATTTTAGACGAAAATTGACAGTTGGAACAAGTTGAACTAAACTTACTGGATGCAGAAAGCAAAGTGACGCTAAAATACATTGAGCATGAATTTTTTATACATAATCCCCAAAAGGATTGACTCCAATTTTTATACAATGCGAAAATTTCAAATAAGTTACATCTATCGATGAGTTCTCCAAGTTACACGCGGTTTTCTCTTTATGAAAGGTAGCAGCAATTCGAAAAATTGCATTGTGCAACACCTTGCGCAATACAATGAGGCTTCCTACATCGCCTGATAAATTTGACTCCTCGTTGAAGGTTAATTTTGGGAGATGGTTGACGACTCAAACCAGGAACAAACTGTGCTTTGGGTTTCTCGATATTTAGTAGTTGAAATATGTTTACTCACTGGTATACTTTACCAATATACCGCATTATGGAAATCTCAATGTACCCTTTGCGTACTTACGGTTTTAACAGATAAAAAGCACTAATTAATTGTCTTTAAATTTTCTTTCTCCCTGCCCCGTCACAGCAGTCTTTAGAACCGACAACGCAGGTGTTTTGACTCTTTATCTGCTTGTACCCTCGCTGCTTATCCGAAGACGCTTCATTCTCCTTCATTTTAGTTCCGCTCTCTTTCACTGTGGAGCGGTACAACAAGTATAAAATGTCCTATACTGGTAAATGTTTAAATTCGAAACCAAATTCTTCTTAAAGCCGTACTATTTCAGATCTTGAAGCACCAGGAAGCCGAATCAAACAAAATCTCGGGTCGGTCTGTCTGTCTGTAGGTTTGTCGGTCCATCTGTAATCTCATTTTCGGATAAACGGCTGAACCGATTGGAACCAAATTTGGTACACATAGTCTTAGACATAAATGGAAGAGCTGAAAAGCTTTTGGACTAAACCGCGCATGGGCAAGTGTGCCAAACTCCCAGTTCTCATGTCGCGCAAGTTTCAAATCTTGTTGCTCAACAAAGCTTTCTGGAGCCGTATCTCCACATAACGCAACTATTGGGAATGTTTCAATCTCTTCCACCCTCCATTTATTTGTAGCGGTGGATATGTAATTAATTATTGATTATCTTTTTTCATTCCTTATCGCCGATGACTAACCCTTTATCGACTTGATGGCGCCTTGATATCGCTCTTAGAAAATTCGCTACAAAGAGCTTTACGACATAAAAATGTATAGGATAAAGTCAAGTGTGAATACAAACAAACATTGAAACAATGAAACAAGAACAGAAATATAGTTATGAGATTTGCTACGAACCGTGGTGCACCAGGATCATTTAAGAGTTCTTCAATGTTATGGAACATATTATGTAAAAGAAAATTGACTATACTACATTCATTATAAGAAGGTAGTAGATGGCGCTGTGTTTGCACATAAACACACACAGGAAAAATATAAAACGGCACCAAATTATTGTAAAGTAGAAATATTCAGCACTGCGAACAGAAATAAACCTTTGACAATAACAGCTAATGACACTTCGGCAGTTTAGTTGGCAACATAAACTACCACCTTACAAAATTCACCAGTCATTTTATGTTTCATTGTAATACTGACTCATGTTTTAACCAATCACAGTGAAGGTCAAAGCTTCCCTATGCTTTTCTACCGCTACCTTCTTAAAATGAATACACTATAGATTACGTCTGAACGTATTGTAACGGAAATGCTCCAGACATGACGTCGCCTTTGGCGCTCTGGAATTTTCTACGCGTATTCGAGAATGTTCGGGACTTACATTGCTTGCGTGTATAAATGGTTGCGGACCGAACATCGCGGGAGTCTACTACCGAACGAGTACGTAAACATCGAGCGCGAAAATCTGATATAAATTGCGAAGTGTGAGTGATATAAATAATCGATATAAATTGTACGGATTTTATAGTGTTTTAGTTCTGTTTAATAAATATTGACATAAATCGAACCCGAATTTATAAATCACGTTACAGTATGGAAGTTGTTGGTCGTTTTAATGGTCATTGGCAGACTATTGAACATTTTAACTCCTATAATAGGAACAGGATTAATTAACATTAGTTCTTCCTCGTCGCACACTGAGGTAATTAGTAGCTCTTGTTGTAAGCACAACCAGCGTTGTTTCCAATTTTGCTACAATCAGTGTAGCAATGTGAAATGTGCTAAGAATTTCTTGGAATTTCCGTTGGTATTCTTGAGGTAGGGTGGTTTTCCTTGGGGGGTGAGTTAGGGTGAGATTTATTTTAGGTGTATCGATACTCCATGGTGCTAGGTCGAATGCAGTTTTAAAAATTTCAGAGCGCTTTATGTTTACGATAAGAATTTCATTTTATCTTATTTTTTAATAGAAAACAGATTCCTCTATTCACATAGACCGAAACAGTGTAACGGGTGGTCGTTTAGCCGTTTTCAAAAATATTTTTTCGAATTTGTGTTTTATTCATCATAGGAAAATGTGCACATACATCGCTTCATAGCGAATGTGAAAAAAAATATGTCTGGAAATAGGAGCGATAATGACAAAGTTACTCGTCTTAAGGCGAAAACCTGTTTTCATTTTTTAACACATTTGGTGGGAAACAGTAACTAAAACGTGGTTTTCCCACCAAAGCGAAGATAGAATTTCGATCTAAACCTTTCAGTAGCTCAAATACTCCACTACGATTAGAGAACCACAAACTAGCAAACTAGTTACACAAAATGGAGGATTTCCAATTTTACAGCATCAGTTTATATGCTAAATTGGAGTTTGATATTGAACTTATCAACATCGTGACGAGACGAGATCAAAGCATTTTCGTATTTATTCAAAGGTTCGGTTGTAAACAACAGGTAATAACAATTTACAAAAAGAAAATGGTAAAAAAGTGGTTTGGGCCTTAAAAACATTTTTTACGTGAAAATAAGCAATTATAGTAAAACATGATTTGTAGCACTTTGTGGCAAAGTAAAGCTGTAAATACTACCTACTTTCTTTTTGTAGTATCTTCACGAATCAGAATTACTGTTGATTATACCAAAGCTAATGCTAAAGAGACCTTGGTATTTATGCACAGGTACAATTTAATTCCATGCATAACATCCAGTTACTTATTTAAATTAATTCTAATAATACAGGTAATAAATTCATTCTACTGACATGACTAAATCACTTCTTTTGGTCTTCTCCTGTTTTTAGCATTAATTATGTAATCAAGACTTTTTGTGAGATCCACAAATTAACTCGTAACTTTTGTACACGAGGTCTACGTTACCTGCGTGCGTGCTTGTAATATTACAGATCGAGTTTATGCTTTCACATTCCTCAAATTGTAATAATTTCGCACCAATTACAAATTATGCCTAAACCGACGTGTTTAACATGAGATTTGAAAGTCGCCTTTGCTTTACATTTACACCATGTCTCATTTCGTGGCACTGCACGAAATGTGGACTGTGGAGGAACCCTACAAGATTCCAGTTTCCGCCTTGGCTTATCTCAGGAAGACCGTTCGGCTAATTAACCACTTACGTACTGATTTTAAATGCAGTGACTCATCTACGTAATGACAGAGGATTAATTTAAATATAGATGTAAAGTAGGAAGTTATGTAGCCAAGTGCGTTTATTGTTTCCTTAATCAGAAAGAACAATTTTGGTGTAGGAAGACAAAGAATATTTAAAAAAACCGGTTGCGTCTTCCTATCTTGGTGGTAGCGTTTAACATTTATGAATGAAAAGCTCTTAGCCTTAAATGAGTCATAAGTGGGCAATTTGACGCTATTAAATCTTATTATTTACACATTTTGTAGTCTCGTCGATGAAGTACAATAATTAAAGTCACCGTTAGGTCATTGCCTTATCTTGCTAAGTTTGTGATTTGTTTCAGTTTTTGGATTTCGATAATTTGCCAGATACAAATTTTTCATGCGTCGGAAAGGTCATCGGAGGCTATTATGCCGATCTGGAGACGAATTGCCAAATGTTTCACGTTTGCACCATAGGTCAACTCGACGAACCGATGGACATTCGATTTCTATGTCTTAATGGCACCGTTTTTGATCAGGTATTGTGAATTTCTACCAGCTGAGTTATTGCAAATTTTGTGAAACATGTCAACTTTCACTCAATTATTCTGATTAATATGTCTTATTTAACCTACAAGTTTAATGTATGGGAACCCGATAAGAATGGCGCATAACTTCAACATTGTGCTTAATTTCAAATTGTAGTACGGGTAAGGATAATGGAATTAATTTAAAAATGTAATTATCGATCTTTCCTAGCAATAAATGCATTCACTTTTCAATTAAGTATATGCAAATAAGTTTTATACGGTAGCTTTAAATGATGCAAGTTTCTGATTTATATAACTAGATGGTTTTTTATTGCAGGAAACTCGCGTATGCGAACGAATTGATGAAGTGGATTGCTCAAAATCTGAACAGTTTTACAGCCTTAATTTGGAATTGTATGGCAATACGCAGCCTCCAATTTTAGAAGGTAGATACAGGTGGTTTGTTGCAATCAAATTTTACTTTTGGTTTGTTGCAGAATCTCCGGAAGTCGAGTATTCCTCAGATAATCGTAAAAGTTCAACGACACTTCCACCCACGTCATCGACGGCAACATCGACTTTCGCACCGTTCTTTCCAAACACTCCTCCAACAACAAATCGCGACATTTCAAAAGTAATAACTTCGCACCATTTTCCGGTCAATTCCCCCGATATACGGTTTAATCCTGAAGAAATCAATATCAGTTTGAAAGCCGGCGCGCCGCCCGATATCACCAGATCACAAGTGCCCATATCATACCAGCAGCAAAGTTTCAGCGAAAAGAACACAAGGGTCACTGTAACCACTCATACGACCATATACAAGAGCGAGAAGCAAAATCGTGCTCCCATACTGTCAACAACAAATCCTCCAGTTCATTCCATAACTGAAAACACTGAATCTACTCTTTCGCCAAAATCCGTCGTTAGTTACGGCCTAACTCACCTAAAGGGATCCAATCCGACTGAAATCAATTACGGGTTCGCCTTTCCCCAAACTGAGGAAAGCGTCGAGTACCACACAGAAGTTCCACCGCATCCTTATCAATATCAACTGAGTTTGAACAACTTCAGACCACCTTCGGCTCAGGGCCATCCGTACCACTCTTCCTACAGAAACGGGAACAAACGGCAGCAAAAATCGAATTTTCCGGCTACAACGTACAGAAACCATCCCGCCTTCACATCCTCCCCTAAGTCACCATCGTACCAATCCCATACGGAAAAGGTTCAAAATTTACAACTACCCCTGCCGCTCTTACCTACGTTACCTCCACTCCCATTCAGCTCGCCGTCCCCGTTTAGTTTAGGACACCACATCGAAACCAAACGTTACACGAAGGATCACCAGGCACCGCCAAGAATTATAATCAGTGCAAGTGCTAGTGTTAGTGACAATAACGGGCGTCGATTGAACTACTCTTTGGGCACGATCGGTGCGAGTCACTTTTTAGGGTCATCTCCGGCGTCATACGACGACTATAAGGAGGAGGACGTAATTCTAGATCCATTTTATCACGATGTTCCTAAACTTAAGAAAACGCGACGGAGAAGAAGTATCGATAATGACGACGTTATACGGGACGATCAAGAAGCGGAGGATCTACTACGATACCTGTTCGACTGGTACAAAAGACGTGAAAAGTTGAAGGGTATATCTATACCGGTATCCGCCGAAGATATAACGAACATCAATCAGCAACTTGCACCAGTTGCGCCTGCGGAAGGTAGCGACGAAGTTGACGAAATGTTTAGGCAAATTTTAGAGACTCGAGGTAGGAGTGTCGATTTGAGTACAGTTGCTACTCCGCCGGCATTTAGAAATTTAACTCGTGACGGTAGCGAAGTGCAACTCACTTCAAAAAATCATACAAGACGCAGTGGACTGAATAATGATCACTTAGAGCAGCAAGCTGTGTCCTCTCAGAGTATTCCGAAAGAAATTCCCAAACCTGACGCTCCACAGACGGAGACGGAAAATACAACTGTCGTCTCACATTTCACTTTCCTGCAAAACGAAAGTAATGCCGATCAAAATCTCACTACTCTAATTGATCAGCCGATTGCGTCAACAACCGTTCCCACCTCCGACTACAACTACAGTGACTACTATTACGATGATCTTAATGCAGAAGTGGAAACCGAAAGCAATAACAGTACCGAGCCAAGTGAATTGGTCACAAATCAGGTGGCGGTGAATGTTTCAGAGTACTTTGAGCCGTATGGCAATGAAAGCGTTTATGATGATTTGGATTTAGTAACGACTACAACAGTTTCCACAGAGGTAGATGTGACTACGTTGCCGGTCCCAACAACAGTTCAGGACATTCAAAATGTTACTGAAAATACGCAGCAAATGAAGTACAGTACCGCAAAAGAAAACGCAGTCGATCTGCCGAGTGATACCAAAAGTGGGGGTAAAGTGGAGGAAGCCTACTCAGTCGTTGGACAAGAACCTAAAAGCAAAGAGTCAATGTTCGCTATAAATGATTACGTTGACGACAATTATGAGCCGCTATCGTATCAAGTAAATAGTGCAAATGAGGATATCCAGCTAACCACGCCGCAATATGATTCCTTAACCAGTAACTTTAAAGAAATGGAACCGTCGACGGAATTGGAAAAGGTAGTCATTATCGATTTGCCAAAGAGCGTAACCGAAACTCCCACAACAGTGCCAACAACGCTCAGTCCTGAAACAACCATAGTTACGGAAGGACCCACGCAAACCACCCTAAAAACTGAGATAATTACTGAAGTCCCCACGCAAACCACCCTAACCACGGAGATAATTACTGAAGTTCCAACAGTCAGTGGTGTCCATTCGACGGTTACCGAACCGCTTCAACTCGTAACCTCTCAAGTGAAAGAGGGCGCCTCAAACCACTCCAAGCACAGATTTGCTTCTAAGAATCGGAAGGGAGGAAATGAACAGGCAAAGTTCGAGACACAAGCAGAATCCGTGGTTAGTACCTCACCGGTTGCTGCAGTACCGGAAGTCACCACCACACTCGCGACGCAACGAAAAATGGAAACCGCCGACTATTTCACCACGGAAACACCCCTAACCGACGCGCCCCTATTAAAAAGTGCAAATCCCACCAAGGGACGAATAACACGAATCGTCCTATCGACAACCCCTCTAACGAAAATCGTGAGGGTCGATTTAAAAAAAGACTTCAATCAACTTAGGTATTCGTTTAACTGCTTTAATAAACACATACATCGTTTCTATTCGGATCCTCGAGACTGTAGACTTTTCCATTACTGTACTGTAGGTTACACCAAAAATCAATTAGTGGATATGAAGTTTGTTTGTGATTTAGGGACGTATTATAACGAAGAGAAATTTATATGTACTAAAGAAAAACCTGCCAGATGTCTTTAAAATGAACTTGTATAGGGTATATAATTATTTTTTTTTATTTTTGTATCTACGAATATTTATTATAGTTATTTAATGTACTGATGAAGAAAATTCTACTACTTTGATTGTTAAAATACTTATAAATTAATATTTGTGTTATGTATATTTTAGATAATAAATTGTACATATTAGCATTTTACTTGATGCTCATTAGTCTACTAGAAAATTTATCCAACAATCGAAATACATAAAGAGTTGATTTTATTATAAATCGCAGTTCACGCCACAGGGTTAAGACTGTATTGCTTTGACATTTGATGGTTTCTTCTCAACTCAAGTTATTTTGTGTCTCCGCACTTACAAATCCAGGCATACAAAATAACCGTAAATACACACAATAAGGAATACTTACATAAAAATTAAATTCACATGTAGTTAAAATGTTAAAAATTAAGTTTTATAGATAAAATTATTAAAATTTTCCCCTACTACATTAAAGCCAAAAAACAGTTTTCAATATAAGAATCGTATAGGATTTTTTATAAATGCGGTTAAAATATATATTTACTTGAAAAGTCATCTACATCTTTAGGCAAGGATTTAAAAACTGCTTGTGCATTGTAGAAACGTTCTTTTGAAATAGTGCGGCCATGTAGGTTGTAACGGTTTATTTTATTAATTACAGGTATTGTTGTTGTTCCCAGTATATTTTGCTGAATGATCCTCGTAACAGTCGTAACCTTGGAATTTTAAACACACAATGTTTAGCGGGAAATTTTTACCGCGCTGCGATTAGTCGATATCGATGGTTAACATTCATTTTCCTCTTTCGATTGCAAGCCGTAACGGAGTGCACTTTTGCTGAGGCATTAGTGAAAACGCATGGAATTTTAATTGTCGCCACCCATATGTTATTAATGTTTGGCGATTAAATTCATTTAACTGGGGATTCCGCATTATTGAGTGAACGGATTCGCCCTAACCCCAATAGTAAGGAGTTTTTGCTTCTTCTTTGTAAGTACGCCATTTGCATTTACATCTACTTGAAGTGTATTTTTCTTTAGGTTGGCTGATATTTGCTATACAATTCTCCATCGACGATTGTTGCACATTTATCTATAATTAGCCCTATTATTTAAAGAGGTATGTACATTTTAAGGTTAACAACGAAGAAAGTTACCTTTGATTTTCTTTTAGGGTTTTAATTTCCAGTGCTAATTTTGGATTCTAGTTTTAATTTCAAATTCTAATTTCAAGTTCAAGTCCAGTTTTAATTGTTACCAGTTTAACGGACCAGCTTGGGTTGGGTGCCGCTTTACCTACCATTCTGTCAACCTTTCCATCTGCTGATAAGAAGCCGCCATTTGCTAAAATTAGGGCACGGGGTCATGCAGCAGATCTGATAATACGGATTCGATCGCTAATTATTATCATTATTTTGCCCCTCCAGGCTTATAAGCTATCCGCATTCCATTGTTGTCTACCTATTTATTAACGAGCGACAAAAAGGGAGTTTATGATCTTGGACTTTCTGCCCGTCCCTCCGGCCATCTGTGTACATGATAACTCACGAATGGTTTCGAATTTTCCAGTTCTGTTTTCAGTAATAGGTAGACAATGGTCAACGGACTAAGTGATTCAATTTTGGTCAATATTCAATACTGGTTAAGTGGATTGATAAAGACACTAAACCTTCCCCATACTTCTTTTAATTATTTCAGGTATTTATAATATTTATAAGATTTATAAGATGGATAGCTACCAATTAATTCAATACTGGTGCAGTTTATTATCTTCGCGAACACTGTTAATCAATCTTTATTTGCCCGTATACCATAAATAGGTTTTGACACGTCAGAAAATATAGTAAATATTAAATTAGTACAATGCATTATATATAAAAAGAATTATAAAACAGTTTAAAACTTCAAATAAATAAAAGCTAGACAGACCATGTGGCTAAAACCGAATAAAGATTATAAACAGTTTAAAATTTTAGTTAAAAAGGGAGACAAGACAGAGATAAAATATAAACAAGTAAACGTAAAAATGACTAAAGAAAATACTACTACACAGGTACAAAAAATTCAAGTAAACAAACAATGAAATAAATAAATATTAAAATTATTGAATAGATCTCCAAGGCGTATGTAAATATTCACTAACGTTATAAAAGGAATGACTTAATAAGTGCGCCTTAACGATTCTTTTAAATTTAAAAAAATTGTAAGGTTTGATACAATCAGGAACGATATTGTATAAGTCGACCCTTAGACTGTTATTTTTAGACCTACTTAGTTTATAATAGGGTGTTTTTATTTAAGTTATGTTAAGTTATGTTCTGGTTGCCGGCCACTTCCTTCTGGAGAGGTTGGCCGGATCAGTATCGTACTTGATAGAAGTTAATTATAAGTAAGGCGAGGCCCGTCAGGCATTGATGAGTTCATTGCATTCCGAGCTCTGCCGCTTGAGAGTTTTCTTTTGTTTGCAGGTTTATTATGGATCCGAGTACTGAATTCACATCTTTGGATGATATCTGATATCACAAGCTCTTGAATTTGCACGACCCAACACGTACGTACGTTTTTGGCTCCGTAAATTGTGACAAGTCTTTACTGTGTAGACCTTAAATTTTTTATGAAAATATACTGTATGACGTAAAGTTTAAGTTACTTTTACTAAAATGTGAAAATCGTGTTATCGTTTCGTCGGGAGTACGGTGGATAGATAGCTGCATGGATTATTACAATCAATCGAACTAATACGTGTGTAAGTTAAACAAACTGTTTTCTGAACCTTGAAATATTTCTAGTGCTATCACGCGATTAAAAGCAAATTATATTTTAAAGTTACCTCTTACATTTTTTGAAAATGTCAAATCGAAAAAACGTTGACTTTGAAAGTCAACTGGAAGCATCTAAAATAGAAGTGCAACAACTAAAACAATTTATTACTAGCTTGCAATCAGAATTAACTCTACTCACTAAGCAAAATAATCTATTAAGAAAACAAATCGACGATAATTTAAATGAGAGTACAACTATGGAGAGTAAACTCAGCGAGGAAAATTCTCAAATGGTTACACTTATATACCAGCTAAAAATTGAGAATAAAAATCTATCAAGAGAAAATCTTGACCTTAAACAGCAAATTGTTCTTATTCCCTCTTCTAAAAACCTAAAAACAGTTCAAGATGCGATTGTTCAAACTTCAAACAAAACAGTTCAAGATGCGATTGTTCAAACTCCATTCACAACTTCTTCAAAAACCACCCAAACTGTATCACCTAAATTAAGTAAAAAAAGGGTAACTTCATCAGACAAACAATCACAATCGATTGCACATTCCCGTGACGAGGACGACTTAGTCCAAAAAACTAAATTAAAAAACCATAACCTAAAACAAAATTCTACCTCGAATAATGACAGCAACAAAAAAGTAAAACATACTGAAAATAATTTTTTAAATAAATCTTTGTTTGATGAGATGCAAGAGCTAAACACAAGCATAAAAATTAACGTAAAGCATCAAGCAGCTCCAAAAACGGGCAAATCTAAATTAACAGTATCAAATACTAAATATACTAATCCTAAAAATAAAATTCTACTGTTAGCGGACAGCCATGGCAGGAATTTAGCAAAATTGTTGGTAGATAAGTTCACTAAATAAACATTTTACCATAGAATCAATTTTCAAACCAAATGGAAAGCTTCACCATGTAACGCAAGACATTCTGGCGCTAACAAAAACATACACTAAAAACGATTTTGTTGTAATACTAGCAGGTTCAAATAACGTAGACAACTCCGGTCTGTATCCTAGTGTCAACGAGATTCTAAGCATCATTAATAAATGCCAACATACTAAATTGTTATTTTGCACGATTCCGTATCGCTATGATACACAGTCAGTAAACGGAATCATTTACAAGCTTAATCAAAAATTATATCATGTAATTAATAGAGTTGCCACTGGGTCGGTGGCGTTAATAGATACTAATCATAATCACAAACGTGCGATGTATACTCGACACGGCTTGCATTACAATATAATAGGCAAGAGAAACTTAGCAAGTAATATCATCAGTTTTATCACCACTAATATTTATAACACCAACTGTTTTAAAAATAATAACATTACCATAAACCCAAGTGAAAATATAAGTTTTTGTAAAGGCAAAGCGGACGCTGTTAAAGAACAAACTGTTTCAAGGTACTCAGACTCTACTATCTCAACTGGTGATCTTGAAAATGAGAACCAGCTTTGTGTCAGTGATGAAGGCGAAGATGAAGAAAATGTGTTATCTTATTCTTTTCAGTCAGCTCATTCCTTAAGTACAGAAAGATAAGCAACTCTTCCGTCTCAGTCATGCACTTAAATATTCAAAGTATAAAGAATAAAACGGACAGCCTTCTGCTACTACTTCAAGATTTTGGTGATGTTGACATATTATGTATTGACGAGCATTGGCTGAGAGAGGAACAGTTGTTGCAATTAACGATCGACAACGACAACTATGTAATTGCGGATTATTTTTGTCGATCCCATAATAATCATGGCGGTACAGTGATATTCATAAAGAAGGACATTCAGTTTGAAACCATTGGCGAAATACGAGACTTGTCGGTGGAAATGAATTTTGAAATATGTGGAATTCAATTAACGAATCATTCAATAACAATATTATCTTTATACAGGCCGGATCGTAATCAATGCATTTTTCTAGAAAATTTAGAAGAAGCCCTACATATTGTTCAAAAGCATAAAACTTTAATTTTATGCGGAGATTTTAATGTTAATTTTCTAAAACCTTCGCCGTTACTAAATAATACTTTAAATATATTAAATACATATGGTTTCACTACTACTATCTCAACACCAACCAGGATTGCATTTAACTCCAGTAGCTGTATCGACAATATTATTACTAACCTTCCAAGTACTTTTTACCGCACCTTCAATTTTTCTGTAGATTTCTCGGATCATAACGCCCAAATATTCATTATGAAAACTAATAGAATAAAACCTAGTCTATACTTGTGGAGACGTGTTATCAATCAAACTAATTTAAATTCATTTAAACACCACCTACAAAGGATTG